ATATATGGAGGTACCTATATAATAATATAATACATATATATATATATATATATATACATATATATATATATATATATATATATATACATACATATATATATAATACATATATATAATATATATATAATTATACATATATATATATATATATAATACATACATATATATATATAATACATATATATATTATACATAATACATACATATATATATATAATACACATATATATATATATATATATATATATAATTCTGTAAAAAGTAGGGGTTCATTTAAAATCATAATTCACTCGTACAGCTAATGTTTAGTTTCGTTCAGGAGCAGAGAAAAATAGGCTAAACCAAAGAACACCTGCAACCTTGAATATCCGAACGCAAAACAACTATTCGAAATTTTTTACTTTTCGAACCGTCGTAGTACTTAATTAACTTATGCAACGTGTGACATATGCAAATTTTATTGAATGATAATATTGTTTTGATAATTTTTAATAAATTAGTTTACTCAGTGTATACAGTCACGGGTATCAGAATGTTTTTTTTTTTTTTGTAGAATGAAAATCTCTTGACTTTTTGCGGAACACCTTTCTTTCGGGTTTTACTTTTTCGTATTTGTTATTGTATCTGGATGAGTGCGTATTTGCGTGAGTAGTTTTTTTTTTTTTTTTTTTTAATAGTTCTGTTTTAGACCCTTTTAGGTGCAATTTTACCGGAAAACATTTTTTTGTTGTTGTTGTTTTGGTGTCACCTGGATAATAACTAACATTTCCCTGCGATAAGTGTTTTAAAAGTTTGCCCAAAGAAAAAATTGTTACTGTTGTGTTTGTATTAGAACCCCTACCATCCAATCGTGGCAGAAACAATAGTTTTACTTACTGACCGAAAACATGCGGTATTTAAAACTTTTAAATGCGACTGTCAGCTTTCAACTTTACTCCTAGAGGCCGTGTAGCCCAAACCAGCTTGGAATAAAAAGCGACTCCGTGAGCAAATTAAAAACATTCCAGGTCGGATTCTGAAATTTTGGATTCTCAAGTTTTCATTACTGAGATTGTTTTCGGTGATTTTTTTTTTTTTTTTTTTTTTTTCCGGGTAATTTTTTTTGTATAACAAGTTTCATAACTTGGAAATAAATTTGAGAATTATCAAAATTAATTGCGAAATCCAGCAAACAAAAGTCAACCATGAAATAAAAAATAATTGTGCAGAAAGTAAGACCTACATACATCAAATTGACTTTAAGTCGCAGCGGAAGAATTATCATTGAACTTTTCAAAGCTTAATGCAATTTAAATGCAGCGATCACTTTTGGTGAGTTCTGTTCTGTAGTATATTGTTGCCTATCACACCTACTACTCCCTACTTATTGTGATGGAGGCCCAATCAAGAGCCCTCCGCCGAGAGGGCGGCTTTTAAGCTAGTTGAAAATATTTGGGAGAGTCTGTTTCACCCCTCCTCCCTTTTCCTTTCTTTTTTTCCCCCGCTCGATATCTCATGCGTATTTTTAATTTGAAATTTTCGTAAAATTTATTTTACAGTTATTATAAGTTACTGTAAGAAATCTCTGAAAAAGTTATTTCAAACAAAAAAAAAACTGCAATAAGTGTGAACATACCGAAAATTCGTCCCGAAAAACTTAAAAAAAAAAAAAAAAAAGATCCCCCCCCCAGCGACAGTTGGTACCTGCATAATGTAATAAAATAAAACGCATTATTTTTATTTCAGGTTGAACGATGAAAAAAGAGAAATACAATTAATTTTAAATCAGTTACCTGGCAAAGATTCGTTTTTTTTTCTTTAAAAAAAAAAAAAAAGAAAAAAAAACTTATTGAAAAGTTTTGTCAAAATCTTTTAAGAGTAAGACCAAAGGATTATTTTATTATTAAATTATATTTTAATCGTTTTTAGAACCCTCAAAATTTTCGTAAAAATATTTTTTTGCGTCAGCGGGTTACCATAAATTAGGAGACATTGATTTGGAAATTCTTGTAACAATCAATTGTCCGATTGTGAAAACATCACAGTATGCTGATTTTTTTTTTTTTTTTTTTTTGAAATGTTATGAAAACATAGTTTTATCATCTAAATCTTTTTTTTTTTTAAATGATACATTAACTTACTATCAATTCCATGAATAATTAGAATTAGATCCTTATATTTGAGTTCTTGTCAGATGGAAGTGACATGCCAAGTAATTTTGACAATTTCAAATTGTCATCTTCTGTACATTGCATGTCACTTCCATCTGACAACAACTCGAATATAAGAATCTTATTATTCATGGTATTTGTTAGTAAGTTAATGTCTCATTAAGACTTGTTAAGGAAGTGATTTCGCTATTAATCACATTAACATTGCTAATTAATTCTTTGTATAAATTGTTTTTGTTATATAAACTGTGATCTCTCTCTCTCTCTCTCTCTCTCTATATATATATATATATATATATATATATATATTACAAACGATAAATATGTATTAACAAAACAAGGGTATACATAGACAATTGAAGATTGTTGCATGTGACAAAACAATGAATATAAAAGAACATTTAAAGACTAAATAATATTTTGTGTGTGTAGGAGAAAGTTCTAGAGAAAATGAAGTGAAAGATGTGTGTTTTCCAGTTGGGAAATCGCTTGACCTACATCTTACTGTCCCTGAGTGAAACAGGAAAAATAGCGTGATGTTACTGCTTATAGGCTTAAGGAGTATACCCTAGCAGCATTTTGTTTAGTAAAGTAAGTGGGGTAACTTCACATACTAACTTTTAGCATAGCAAACAGCCTTTGATAGGTGGGTGATAAATTTGAAAAATCTTGCAAAAATCAAATAATTATTGGATTTTAATTAAATTTTCTGGCCTTATTCAAAAATGAATCAGATTATTTTTTAAATTGTTTTTATTAGAAAATCTTAATAAAAATGTATTTTTATACATGTTTCATCCCCTTACTTAATTTTATGGAAACTTGACAAATTCAAAGTGATGATTTTTAATGATTATATTAGTTAAAAGCAGAATTCTTTGCATGGATGTACAAATCGATAGATCTATCTTTAAAAAGGTCACATGTTTTAAAGGTTGTCACCCTCCTTATAAACTTTATCGTCTGCTTGACCATACTTAACATTCAGAACACATTCAGTTGTTAATAAATAGATTAACATGAACAAAACCCTGTAGTTAAGAAATATATTCGTATACACCATTTTATGCTATAAGTAATATTTGTTTTAAATCTGATTAATTTAACTTTAAATTTGCTAATTTTCCTCATGTTTCAGAAATATATATTATTTTTGCAAGATTTTTAAAACTGAGAATGAACTTTTGTTTACAAATGCATCAAAAATGGCTAATTTTTTATTGATTTTACTGAAAAAAAAAAATTGATTCCAATCAATATAATTTCTGTTCAATTAAGGTTGGAGCGAAAACTTTAAGAAAGCTTTTTCATTTTTAAAAATTCATTGAAAAACTTACGTATACCAAATTAGTAGTGTGGTGTAATATACCTTGCTGTGCTAAAATGTTTTTTAGGTTTCATGTATAAAGTAATATTTTTCAAAAATTGCCTTTATTTATTAATTTTACTAATTTTTTTAACAAATCTGAAAAGATATTTGATTTTGAAGAGATTTTTAAAGTGTTTTAAATTTTGTTTTTGTTTTTCAATAAAAATAGCGGGTCAATTATAAATTAACCATAAGAATATTTTAATGTCTTAAAACTTTATTGAAATACATAAAATTATCTTTTTCACAGCATTTTAATTTTAGAAATTATCTTTCAAAAAAAAAACAAAATTTTAAAAATTTTATTTAAATTTTGTTTTTAAGATATTTAGCAGTATTTAAATTGTACAAATATATAGTTGGATTGATGTGAGTTTGTGATCCTGGGTTTCACACTATTTGTGATTGTCAGACAAACTGATTAATTTTTTTTTTTGATTTCTATACGGTTATGTATATCAGTGTTTTATGGAAGTGGGAGGAAAAATTGTCATCGGGACACCACTCATACTTACGCAAACATACATACACACACGTACATTCATTGATGTATGCACACTCACTCACCAGAGCTCACACAAACATAAACATATGTGAACAGTGTGGGACTGGCATATATGCAAATACGTACACATTTGGTCGCTGTATTCAATGTTGGATTGTGTAGCGAATATTTCTTGTTTATTGCACTGTCAACGTGTAAACTGTTTTTCTAGTTTTTCAATCCAACTAAATATGTTAGCCCTATCACTGATATTGAGTGCTTTCCAATAAGTACTGCATATATATATATATATATATGATCAGTTCATAATGAAGTATTTGCCTGATCCTAGCCTTTGTGAGCTATATTTCCTATGATATTGTTTCATTTTATCCAATAATTATTGTACTAGCTTGAATTCAATTATTATTATTCTTTTCTTATTGAAATCTTCCTTTAGAATTATCAGCTATAGAAATTGGTAATTATGTCTCTTGTATTGCTCTCTCAACTAAAAAACAAATTGGAATCCTGATATGTTTTTTTTTGAAAATACATGTCTCCTTTACTTTGTCTCTATTGTTCTATCATAATTTCATGACCATCTTAGGTAGCACTGAAAGACAATATATCTGGTGGGTGTTACCAAAAAAAAGCTTGTATTAAAATTATATTATGAGGGGAAGCATTATTGCCCAGTACAGAATTGCAACTTTTTTTGTTTTTTTTTTCTCTCTCTCAAGTTTTTGTGACCTCTTAAAACTCCCGTAAATCAAAAATTCAAATAATTTAGTGAAATCAGCAATAAAAAAAAGTCACAAGTTTTGCTTCTGGCAAGGATAAAATTAATAGAGAATAAAAGTAATATTTTATCTAATCTACAGTAATAAAGTTGTATTTTTACTTTTAATATTTTAATGAACTTTTACTAATAAATTTTTGTTAAATAATAGTTTAGTTTTTTTTTTTAAGAGAATTGTATTTTGACCTTTGGGGTCAAAGACAGAAAAACAAAGGAAGTCAATTTTTGGTTGGCTAAAACTAGCATGGGAATCATAGATATAGGAAGGGATTTAAGTGAGTAAGTTCTTACACCTCAAACAATGTAGACTTGAGAAATTAATTTCTGGGAAGCAGTTCCCCAGTCAGGGTGAGAGAGCAAACCCACTGACTAGTTAGAAAATGTACACATTGACATGTTGGATAAATTAGTAAGATTCAAATTCCCTTTGTTGAATTCTTTTCATTTCTGGATCCCAAAAACATTTTGACACCTGGGTGAGAGAGAAGACATCTTTATTGTCAAGTCGACCCAGGTTACCCCATGACCAAGGGGCTATACAACATTGTATTAATTAGAACAGGTGACCAAGAGACCCCAGGACGAGGGACTCATACAACAATATTACTTACACAATAAATAAATTCACATTGTCTGTAGTGTGTAAATGTTTTTGAGGTATAATACTTTTCTTTTTTTCTTTCAAGTAATGTGCACCTATAAATTGATGTCATCTGCATAGATGTTCAGTAAACATTGGAGATCATTGATATGGAGCAGAAAAAAAGGGTAGGACCGAGGATAGAACCCTGACGAACCCTGTAATTGATCTTGTGCATTTCTGATGAATGGCCATTAATAACCTTCAGGGACCTACCTGTTAGGGAAAGCCCTTCTAGTGATTCCATGGCTGGAGAGTTTATGTAGCAGCTACACCTTTTTGAGGGCTTTGACATATCTAGGGTGATGGTCCTTGTGATGAATTGTCTAATGTTTTGCTGATTCTATAAGTTAAGATCTTAGTAGGCTAATGGGTCGATATGACAACATTGGAAACAAAAAAAAAAAAAACTTTTCATTCCAAGAAAGCAATAAATAAATGGAATGCATATTAAGTGGTTCATCTGTGTGATAGTATGAGTAGTAGACAGCTGTTCAAGTTGATGTAGTAAGGAGTCATTAAGATATCTTCCAGTTCTTAGTCACTCTATTTCCTGACATATACAAAAGCCTGTCTTCATAAGAAACTGGACTAAAAAAAAAAAAAAATTGTAAAATACCAACAATTTTCTGGAATATAAAATTTTTTACTTTATCTGGTTTCTTTTTTTTTTTTTTGTGGGCAAGTTGAATATTTTTACAAGGCTGAATTTTCGCCCCCTCAATCATCCACAAAGGCAAATATATTGAAAATGCTTTCAAGCTTGCTAATATCCTAATTATTCCATATAACACAGGAATGCTTACAAAATCCACGAAAAAAAAAGGAAAATAATACAAATAACCTTTATAAAACTAGGCACATATCAACCAGCTGAATAGCAACTACAGTTGAAAAGTATTTATCTAAATTTATCTACATTTGTAACTACTGAAAAAACAATAAGATTTAATTAACACAAATATTTAATTAAAACAAAACATTAAACCAGAAACCGGAATTTACAAAATAGATTGCAAAAAAAGTCTTGTGCAACATTTAATTTAAACAAAAGTATGTGAATATAAGAGGGAATCTTTTACAAAACAATGCACTTAATGCATTAGCCATTTATCATAAGTCTGACAATAATTTTGACTTAAAGAATGCAGTTTTAATTAAAGTGAAAGTAATTTATTAAAGTTTATTGAAACTGCATGAGACATGAACTCATTTTGGAATTTTCAATGGTATATTGTATAGTCCTGAACGTAAACATCTCATTTTCTCTGAAAACTGCTGCTGATAAAATATGGAATGATTAAAAGCTGAATGAGACAGGTCAAGTTAAACATGTTTAAATTTAAATCTGAATATCCTGTCTCTTCAATGTTTCAATGTAAACTGTAACCAACATTTGTATTTGCTCCCACACTTTTATATGACAGAATGCATGAATGAAACCATTATTAGTCATTAGAAATGTATCCCTAAGAAATCTTCAATTTTATCATTCACTTACACAATAGTCTGAGATTGCTCTCTCTCATATATAGATCAAAATTCACAAATTTTGATATAATTGTTTTAATATTATATATTTAGAGTCTGTTGACTTTGATATTGAGCCCTTGGTTTATTTTATATTTTAAGCTTTTAACTTGTATTCTTTCTTTTCATGTGTGTGTGTATAAAAATATATATATATATATATATATATATATATATATATATAGTCATCATCACTGCGATACTGGTTCTCAGGCAAGTATTTTTTCATGTTGGGGATCAGATGATAATAGGGATGGTGATCAAAAAAGAAAAATATATATATTATTTTTTTTTTTTCAAACCATCATGGACATCTAAGAGATGAAGCTGCATGAGCATGGTGATGTAATTATATCCAAGATAAATGTTCTTAATATTGCTCTATAATTCAGGTATTGACTACTTTTTAAAACCAAGTATGGTCAATTTTGCCCCATAATTGATTTAAAATGTGTTGAGAAAAAAAGTAGTCAATACCTAAATTATATAGCAATATTAAGAACATTTATCTTGGATATAATTACCTCACCACACTAATTGCAGCTTCATCTCTTAGATCTCCATGCTTATTTGAAAAAGAGAAGGGAAAAAAATAATTTTTTGTGTGTATATATATATATATATATTATGCACACGTCAAGATACTGTTTCCTGTAATGAAAGATATTTTATTTAATGTGGGTTATTTTGTATAATATATAAAATGTCCTAACAAGGCATTTGACAGTGAACCAGACTCCTGGTCCTGATGAATAACACAGCCAGAAAATCTGGCAAAAAGTATGTAAGACACTTGCTGGTTTGACCAACAGTAAGAAATTGTTAAAAATTCAGCAATGGTCATGCTTGTTTAAATGTATATTTATATAATTTTAGATGTTATATTATAATGTTCCTCATAACAATTTTTTTCTTTTCCAGAGCTTATTTGGCATTTTCTCTGAGAGAAAAAATGAGTTTAAAAACTAATGATGAACCTTTGTCTGATGGCATGGAATTGAGGCTTTATAATTCCAACATTTGCCCCTATGCACAGGTGGGTTGTTCCTAAATTAATAACAGCATAGTTCACTAAAAGATGATCCTTTGATATCAGAGTACTGATCAATACAATCTTGCTAACTTTAGACTTGACATTAACATCTGTTACAAGAGGTTCATGATCTGTAGAATATTTTAGTTGGTGATGATGATGATTAATCTGGCCATTTTTGTCTAGATAAATTCCAGATTTTTTTTAAAGGGACTTTTAATTTTCTCTCTCAATAATAATTTATTAGTCACGCTCCATACAGAGATGATGTTCGGTGCTTAAATATCTAAAATTCTCCCAAGGATACATTGCATACAAACCAACCTGTAACAGTTATGTGATAGTAAACGGAATTTGTTGATACTAAGTAAACAAGGACCAATGATGTGTACATGCTTAATTTATAATGTAAATAATATATTCTTTCTGTAACTGAATGTGAATTATTTGGCAAACTATGATAGGTATTGATTGGAATTAGTAGTTAGATAATTTTTTTTAACATTCTGTATTTTTGTTTTTAAATATATTATTAAACATCTTTTAAACTGTTTTAACTAACAGAGACCAATTTGTTATAATTGGCTGTGATAATATATTTAATTTTGTTGTTGTTTCCAGTTGTCACGAGTCAAGTATCAGATAAATCATCAGTTGATAACACTACAATTTATTAAGAAACTTCAGTTAGGACTAACTGACTTTCTTGAGGAACTGCTTAAGTTACCACATGTGGGTCCCAGAGGACACACTACATTAAAAACCCATCTGCATTACTGTCTATATATGAATATAATCTGATCTAAACATGACTAATTACAATGATTTTTGTTATGACTAATGTTCTGGTTAGTATTATCCTTTCCACAATCTTCAAAAAAAGAAAACCTGCTCATATTCATTTTTGGCAAATATTTTTCATCAAAAATGCATTTTTGTGTCAGTTTAATCCTGTTGTTTAGCTAATCAACAATTAGGGTTAGGGTTAACAGCCAATCAGAACCTAGAGAATAGACTTGCCCAAATAGAAGAATGGAACATCCCAGCCTGTTATATAAACCATTCACCAACTGGCACAAAGGTTGTCATAGCAGACTCAACTTGCAACTGTCGAAGGTATTTTTTTCTTTAATAGGACTTCTCAATTTAGGCTTGTTGTTATTAATTTCAATGTTTAATAACAAAACATTTTTATAGTAATAAAAAATGTCTGATAAAAAATACTTTTAAAAAATGACATCCTAATATATTTACTAATATCTCTCATACAAATTACTGAAAGTCTTTCTGTAAATGAGTCCATTATAAAACACACACCAAAATAATAAAATGAAGGCTTACTATTAACTGAAAAGTAAAATGAGATAGCATTAAAATTAATTCCACTTTCATTTGTGAAATGCTTGATCACACAATTTACTAATAAAAAAACTATTACATCTTGTTTGAATTAATGTTGGCCACCTAATTATCAGTTGGAATATATGCAAATTTTGTTTAAATCAATAAGGTAGCTTTATTACCTGGATTATTATGGCAAAGTAGCCAGAAGAAAGTTTCTTCTTAAAGCAGTGAACGTTTAGCAAAAACAAAACAGTAGGCATTTGTGATAATTGGTCCTTGGAGTTTGGGAATCCTCATCTTTTCAGATTAGTCCCTTTCTGAACAGCAAACTAGTATGAAGATTGCAGAGTAAAGAATGTTATTTCAACCACTTACAACCTATTAATAGATATGATGGAATTTTAGTTATGGTGCAATTTATAGCAGTGGTCATCTAAAGCTTTTGGAATAAACTAATTTAAAAAAAAAAAAAAAAGGACTTAGTTATCAATAAATATTGGGGTGATCTGGACAAAATCCCCTTTTCATGAAATATTGAACTATATGGTATGCAACAAAGAGTTTGGGAGTGGCAAAAGGCTATTAAGCAATTGTCATGATTTCCTCACATGAATTCTTGTACATTGTGACTCTTAAATACTCTATGAAAGAATGTAGAACTTCTAATACAGGCTAAACCCACCTGGAAATTGGAAGGCTGGCTTGATTCCCTCTAGTACTAATGAGGTATCTATAATTTTCATGTGATACAATGTTGAACAGCTGTGTGTCTGGATAGTTCCAGAAATTGTCTAGCCCCTTTGACACTTCCATTTGAGACACTTTGGGAATCCAGTAGTGACCCAGGCTCAACTTCTTTAAGTGCAATATGGATATACTGCAGGAGGAAACAACCGTTTTCTTGGAATTGATTGTTGTTTTTTTTTTGTTTTTTTTTAATATTACATTAACATTTTTAGAATAACAATGATTTTTCAAGGTACGAGTCCTACTACTTAACCCATAGCCTGGGGGAAGGTGATGGATTCATACCTTTCCAAAGATTATTTGCACATCAGTGAAAGTAACAAACCTGACTAAAATTCACTCAGCTTTCCAATTTCTCACCATGGGCCATTATCCATTACATCACTTGCAAATCCATCACAACCTCTTGGAAAAAAAAAATCAAAAACTTTGTTTTAGACAAAACAGTCATGAAGTGCTGATATTGCAAAATGTTTTTGATCAAGCCAACCATAGTTGTACATATACATGACAGCCTGTTCCTTTAGCAGAGAAATTGGGTGTTAGTCAACTCTCCAAATATCTGAGTGAATACATGTATGATTATATACAATTTTCTAATCTGAGATTAAACACCTCCCGCTAGTATCAATATACAAAATTTAGACATAAACTCACACAAGTGGGTTTGTCAAAAAATACCTTTCTTCTTTAATTACAATAGGTTTTCATAGATTTCTGCAATAGTGATTCTTCTGCCAGCTGTAACAAGCACTCTTTGGCCTTATCCTCATTCACAGCAGCAGCTGGTTTGCCACTCTGAGGCCTATCACTAAAGTCAGTTTCTTTCCAGAATTGCCATTAACTCCTATCCCTACTAAGACATCTAGATAAAAATATTATGCAAAATTTATACATGTTTCAGCGTCCCCGACTTGTGTTGGCAGCAAAAGGAATTCCATATGAGTTGTCAGAAATTGATCTGACCGTTCCTCGACCAGATTGGTATTTGAAGAACTTAAATCCTAATGGAACTGTCCCTTCAATGCTACACAATGGCCATAATATCTATGAGTCATTGGTTTGTTGTGGTAAGTCTGAACTTTACTTATATCTTATGATGCTACTAATCAAATATTGGCCTTATTTTTCCTCTTGTTTAAAGAATAAAATATTTTGCCATTAAATTGTCAAGAGCCAAACAAAATCTTTTAACATAAACTATTGAATTTTCTTCTATGTATGTTGTACTTAAGCTGATATTTCTAGGTCCAAGTCAGGGGAATAAATTACAGAGTGATATAATGAAGCTACAAGTTCAGAACTTGCTTTGGAATCATCTAAGCATTGAAATATTTTATGTGCCATGAAAGCTTTGGTATTTCCATGTGAATGTTAGTTTATGATATATAGAAGTCTTAAATTCATATGTATTATTAACTCATCCAAAAAAGCCTTTGGGAACAACCATGGCTCTCCATAACTTCCTATCCATTATAACTTTAAGTAATGTTTACCTCTTCTGGTCCCTGTTCTGCTATCCATTTACACAAAGTAGGTTACTCACTGTTTTCTCCTGCCCCTCTTGCCTTCAATATGTCCTATCAGTGTAAGTCTCCAAGCCATCTAATTCAAATTATAACTGTCCTTTTTGATTTTCATTTTCCTTAAAACTTCCTTGTTGCTCACATGCTCTGTCCATGGTATTCTCAGTATTCTTCTGTAAAACCATATATATGTTGTCTGTTCATCTGTGAGGAAATTGTCCAGCATTCATTGCCATATAGGAGGACTGAGTTTATCCCTTTTTATTTTTTCCTTATCCATTATGAACTGTTTAGTTCACATCTTTCTGGTGGAGACATGAAGGTGTCATCTACATATCTTAGCTTCCTAGTTGGATTCAGTGATACCATTCTTAAAGCATTCAAAGTATATTTACCTTAATGGTAAACCATAGCCAAGACATCTTCCTGTTGATATAGGTCAGAACCCAATTGGCAATAAGCTGTTTTTATACAGAACATCAACATCTCTTCTGAATCAAGATTCCCTGAGAAAACATTACCAAGAATTGCATATATTTCATGCAACTGTGACAGGAAATGAAACAATGAGCTTCCTATTATTATAAGTATAGCTGGAGGAATATTGGACAAACTATCATTTGGGAAGAAACAGTCAAAATAAGATTGAGAATGAAACAATTAAAAGAATCCATGCATAAACTAGACACTCATAACACCCTCAGCAGGCCTAGAATACAAATGAACACCATGCGAGAGTTTTTAAGAAAGAACATTAGGACCAAAACTCAAACAATTCTACCACCCAGTTACACTACAAGGAATATAAGATATACTCTTGTTCAGCTGATGGAGCAAACAAGTGACCTTTGGTTTAAGACTCCACTAAAAAGGAATCCAGTTACCTAGCAAATGGGAGTTCAATTCTTGTTTTGGGTAGTACAGTCATAGTATTTGATTCAGTGGAAGAGATAAACAATATCACAAGTAGAAATTAACTGATACAGGATTTGTCAAAATATGTTCAAATTTGATACTGTTAAAATTTTTATCATTGTTAACAGCTACCATTCTGCATTCTATATACCATTGAGAGATGTAGACATTGTTTATATATAGAAATACTTATTAAATACATTTTACTTTATTATACAGATTACATTGAGGAAGTATATCCTGAACCTACTTTGTATCACCCAGATCCTTTGAAAAGGGCATTTGAAAGAATTTATATCCAGACCTGGGCAAGTAAGGTAAAAGTAAAAAGTTCACTATTATAAAATTTATTCAAAGTTGTAAAGCTTGTTCCACAGACAGTGGATTAAAGCTTTGGTTTGTGAATTTGGTGACATAGTAATTTTGAGTTCAATCCCTGGGCCTGGCAGTATTGTATAGCCCCTTTGTGCTGGGGGTAGTCATGAGGTGACAATCTTGATTCACTCATATGTTGCATTCTTCTCTCTGGCATCATCCAGTCAGGTGATTGTTGGTTGGTATGTTCGGAGGTAAAATAAGAACTTCAACAGAAGGAATTTTAAACTTATCTATTTTATCAACATGTTGACGTGTACATTTTTAACTAGCCAGTGGGGTTGCTCTGTCACCCCCCACCCAATGAGGAGCACTTTCCACATACGAAATTAACACATCTGCATTCTTTGATGCATAAAACTTAACTCCCTGAAAACACTTTCTAACTCTAACATTCTCATGTTCGGCTCAGCCAATCAAAATAGACATCCCTATTTTGTGTACCCAGTTGAAATGAATAGTAATTGTAAAAGAAATCATAGGTAGTAACCACATTTCAGTGGACAAGGTAATCTGTAATAAACCAACAACAAAAACAACAGGATTTTCCCAACCATGTAACAACAAAAGAAGCTTAGACACACAAATTCATTCACTAACTCAGTCACTAAATCTACTTTCAAAATCTACCATGACTCTAACTGTAGAAGTCATAACATAATTTACCTCCTAGAATGCACACTGTCAGAAACAATATGTAGGAAAATCTGAATGGTCCTTGCACTACAGAATTAATAATTATCGCAATCAAATTAAGTTGACTCCCCATGAAAGATTATTACCTGTAGAACAACATTTCTGCCTAGAAAAACATGATTTTAGAATGCATGCCAAATTCACTATAATTGAGAGAATAGAAAAGTTGAGAGCAGATAACATTAGAAAGATTTTAGAGTTCCATGAAAATAAGTGGATACAATGTTTAAAATCGCACTATCCAGGCAGGCTTAATCACAAATTTAACAATATAGATAGTATTAATATATAACCCCCACAAACCAAGACCTACCCACATTTCTCACCCACACAAGACAGATATGCTTATGGAGGTGTTGAGGCCTCACACTTATACACACACCCACATAAATATACACACTTACACACATCATACTCACTCACTCCCTAATGAGCCAAATGATAACACCCATAGTAATATACACGCTTACACAAATCATTCTCACTCACTCCTTAAGAACCAAATAACACAGACACACTTAACAGATACATCCCCTTTCCAGGAACCAATAAAACTGTCAAAATGACCAAGGGAATTCAGAGCAGCATGAATCAATTCAGCTCTTATCTTAAATAAAAACTTAAGAGACTGTCTGACCAACACAACGCTGACCAAAATTCATGTTAAAAAAAATAAAAAAACAAATGAAAACTACAGACAAAAGTTCATTTTCTCCATCAAGACATTCATTTCTGTAGTTCACTGTTGGTTGAAACTAGTTGAGGAATCTAAATGAAATAATAATAAAAACAAAATAATATTAATATACAACACATTTTTTAATATTTTTTATTGCTCAATATATATATATCAGTGGTGAAGGGTGACTTGGGAACCAGGGCATGCAGTCTAATCGCCAAGGTGGAGAGGGAAAAAGAGAATCTCACTCTGTACTTCTAGAAAATTATTTATCTTCCTTCAACCATCTGTGAATATGATGTGAACTAATTTTAATGTGAGAAAATGCACTTCTACCAACAGGGTCTGCTTCAGACTTGATGCCCTTCTTCACTGGACTTGATGCCTCAAACACCCACCCACCCCTGCCATTAGTAATATCATGGCAGGGATAATTGCTTATGAGACAAAATAATAAAATCTAAAAATAATGAGTTATTAAAATTGATTTGTAAATCAATTCAATTCTTTGTTTCTTTTTGGCAAATTCCTTGTTCACTTTGTTGACAAAAAGGCATTAGCATCACCCTCTACCTTCATCTTTATAAGGTCTTTATTCCGAGAAATGAGAACCAAATTACTTACACGCTCTTCACTTTGGTAAAACCTCATATAATTATTTACGTGCTTTAGTGAAGAAAACGATCTCTTACAAGAAGCAGATGAGACAATTATGGTCAGGAGACATTTTTTTAAACTTTTTAAAAAATGTTTAAATAAGTTTAATGCTTAACAACAAGTGTCAGAAAATGGCATTAATTTATGAGTGAAAAAGTGAAAATTCGTAATTTTAATGTAAACTAAATTGTTTTAATTACCCAAATGTTTGTAAGATAAAGTCCAATCTTTCTTTAAAATAACACAAACATTAATACACTAAATTTAATTACTTTTAATTTAATTTTAAAATTAAGTATTACAGTGAATTTTTAAAATGTTCTTTAACAAAATTTAACATGTTTAATGAAATAATATACAATATTATCAAGAAATTTTTTACCTAACTTTAAACAATTTTGAACATTTTAAAATTAAATCTTAAGCCAGTGAAATTCATGGAAACTTACCTTTTAATCACAAAAAATAGACTTTGCTGGTTGCTCCTTTTCACTCCATGTATGAACTGGTCAAAAATTTTCTGGGTAATGGTTACATGACTGAATGTTGGTGTTAAAGAGTCAAGAATACTCTCCATGGGTTAAATCTTTTTAATAGTCAGTAAAAAAAAACAAAAACTTTTGATATGACACTAATGTTGTCAGACATTCCCTAAATACTCTTCAGAAGTGAATAATACACGTTTTTTGTCTAAATCTGTCCAACTATAAATCCTTTGAATAGGCAAGTCTTTGATTTAAATTGTTTTAATTTCCCAAATGTTTATTATAAGATAGTTCTATCTTTCTATAAAATAACACCAGCATTAATACACTAAATTTGAATCTAAATACTTTTAATTTAATTTTAAAATTAAGTATTGCAGTGAATTTGCATACAATAAAAATATCATCACTTCAGTATAGAGTGTCTGCTGGCTTAATACAGCTGGAAAGCCAGCAAAAGAATTTCTGATTTTTGGTGGTTTTCTCTCTGTGACCCCCCATCCCAATTTATTATTCTTTCTCTCTTTTTCATGCACCCAGCTTGAAGGGAATAATAAAACAGGGAAGGCTAAAGTCACAGCCTTTTCTAATGCAAGCAAAAGAATTTCTGCTTTTCGGCGACTGTCTCTCTTTCACCCACTCACTATTATGTTTCTGTCTCTCATGCTCCCTATTAAAAAACTAGTAAATTCATTGCTTTTACTTGCGTCTTTTCTACTTGCACTACTTAAATAATATCGCTTATAACAATTATCCTAAGGAATGAAGAAATAGAAAATACAAAAAAAATATGTGTACAAAGAGGATAGTGAAACTTATCAATAATTAGTTTTATATTATACAAATTATTTATCCTCAAAAATGTAAGACTTGCATACACGGATCCTTCACCCCATATATATATATATATATATATATATATATATATATATATATATATATATCACATCACTGTATTTTGCCAATACACAGAATCAAGCAGACCACTCGCTAATGGCAGGGGGATGAGCAAACAATTTGGGAGTGGGGGGAAAATGTAAAAGATTGGTTCAATCAAAATGAAAAGAAGGGATAAAAAACAACTGGGAAGATAGGGAATCTTGAAAAGGACCATCACAAAAGAGGAGGTTGGGAACAACACTCACATTAACTAAAACAGAAGAGACTAACTTAACCTGGGGTGGGATCTGCTCCATTGAAAAGTTTGATAAATGCTTGAAGTGTGTGTGTGTTTTTGTGTGTGTGTCTGGATGAAGCATTGAATTTTATAGATAATATTTCTTATTCAGATGCTTTGTGTGTGATGCAACCCTCAGTGTACTTGGGTATGAAATGATGACAGTATGCTGATTTTATTAATTCACATTGAGGCGAGTGCAGAAAAGAATATCCTAGTCAAAAAAAAAATAAAGAAACTGTGGCAGACATGAGACAGAACCTGGGACGAGCACAACTGGTTGCGACTTGCCTTGTCCCCGCCAAAAAAGAGCCTGTATTTGCTTAGCATGTAAAGCTACTGCAGTTGAAATGAGGAAGAAAAAAGCACTTACCGCTCTGCCGTAATCCATCTTCGGCCAGATAACGTAAAAGAATGAGGGGGGACTTGCATTGCATTTTTATGCAATAAAGATGCAATGCATTATGGGACAGGGACACAATGAATTATGGGATCACATGAAGATGCAAGGGATTATGGGTATATGGACAAATATAAAAGCAACTACTTTTTCCCAGTGGGGAGAGTTCTTCGAGTGACGTTCACGGTTGGCGGCTAGAAAAGTTTGTTAGTGTGATTTTGAGACAGAACTCAAGAAGGAACGACTCGAGGTTGGAATACCAGTTGGGAGAGCTTGAATTTACTCGCTGGTTGCTGTTTTCTTTATTCGCCACAGAAACCTGCTTTTGTTTGATTTTGTAGTTGAAAATAAATTGATAAAAATAGCCAAAATTTGGCTTTCAGAAATTGTTGGCTGTTAATATCTCCATCTGTTCCTGTCATAAAACCTTCCCCCTTTCTTTCATATGGTTGTTTTAAAAAGAAAAAAAAATTATTTCATAAACTATCTCGGTATCATTTTGTTAAAAAGGAATTTTCTTTGATGCACAGGGAATTCCTGCTTTTTACAAGCTCTACAAAGAACATCCAATAACAGATGAAGGGAAAGAGAATTTATTGAATGGCATTGGGAAAATGGATTCCCTCCTGAAAGAAGCAAAATCTGACTACTTCTCAGGAACTAACAAACCAGGAATGGCAGATTACATGATTTGGCCTTGGTTTGAAAGAATATCCTTCATGAAGGATCTTGTGGGTAAGCTCATATTTTCAGATTTCTTTAAGTATAATGTGGCTACTTTCAGCATAGAAGTAATTGTACCCTTTTTCAAACAACTGGTAAGACAAGACATCATTTGATTAAATTCCAGATTTTCTAAAAAAAATTCTAGACTCCAATTTTGTGTTGGGAAATAATCTTACTTTGGTACTGAACAGTTGTCTGATTCTCATCACACCACTGAAGTTAAGCAGCATTGAACCTGGTCAGTACCTAGATGGATAGCCACTTGAAAATACCAGGTGCTGTAAGCTTGGAGATTCAGGTGGTGTAATGGATAATGACCTGGAATGAGAAATTGGAAAGCTGAGTTCAAATTCCAGTTGGCTTTGTTATATTCACTTATGCACAAATAGCCTATTTCTTCTCCCCTCTTAGATATGGGTTAAATAGTAAGACTTTTATTTGAAAATTATCTCCCCAAAAATTCTTACAATCAAAAAATATTTTGGCTTTAAACAACCTTAAGGTTGATAAGCTGTAAAAAAAAAAATCAATTGATCAATAAAACCGAACAGTTGTATTTTGAGATGTCGTGTAACTCTTAATACTGTATTTTTACCAAATAGTTTATATAGGTGGTTTAACAATATGACCATGCAATGGCTTCTCATCCATCATAATGAAAAACTGATCACATTTATTTTATCTTCAATGTCTGAGGATGGCTTGTATGAGAAACTGAAGATGTTCTGTAATGCCTGACCATGTACCATGCTTGCCACACTACTGGGGGTTTAGGCAGATGTAATTACAATCCATATGAAATTTTGTGTTTAGTTTTATTAGAATGAGTTTCATGCACCTCCAAACATTTTTTTTTTTTTTTTTTTGACTTTAATGCTTCCTTCTTAAAAAGAAAAATAATTAATTTTATTTTTATAACTATAGGATTGAACATTTCTGAAAGCAATTATCCTTCAATTACAAGTTGGATATCTCGTTTGCTGAAGGACAAAGTTGCTCAAGAGGCTAACACCAACAAAGATATTTTCACAGCAGGTTTTAAAAAATTCCACCCAGGAGACTAATTTTCAAAACCTTTATTCTTCTTCATGAATGGTAATCTGGAATAAAAATGGTATAAATCCTTCCATACAAGGCTTGTCTCTTTTTTTTTCTTTTTCTTTTTAAATATGGTTTTACAAAGTGAATATTACTGGTTACCTTGAGTGTTATTCTTGTCCATGCTTCAAGAACAGGTTCTTTGCACAGAAAGTCATAATTGACAAGTAATTCAACAAGATGGCAAATTGTCACATTTTTCTCTTGAAATAATTTCTAAAAGTTTTAATAGGCCACTAGTTCATTAGAATTTACATCTTGTGCTAAGTCATTCTCTGGTGAAAAAAAAATTTTTATTGTTTCACCTGTAAACGATGGCATAAATTTCATCATGAAATTTTGGTAAATCAATGTTGATAAGAAATAAAAACAACAATAATGAAACCAGTTGGGACCAAATGAGTGGAATATTTATTTTTTTGTGTATCATCCTTCATCTTTTGCTTGAGGTCTTAATCAACGTTAACAAATATTCAGATATATAAAGCCTTTAAGAATTATACTTGAACATAAAATTTACACTAACTTGGCACTTATTCCAGGAGTTAATCAAATATCTTTCTTTGTTGTTTTTTGTCATTATACTGCCAAAAATTCTAAGAATAAATTAGCCTGCTACAAGAATCTCTATAAATATGTTGCACTCAGAAAAATGCTGACGTTTTTTTCTCTTCATGTCTCTCTACAAAAAGTAAAGATTCCTTTTGCTAACAGTTTTGAAGAACCTCTTTGAATTTATTAGAAATGCACTGTTCCTACATTTTTTTTTTAATCTTGATATTTTAGACAAATATTAAATAATTTGTCTGAATTTCTGGAATGAGCTATTATTTATACATGGACTATTGTCCTCATCTTTTATCACAATATTTTAGCTATTATGCCTGAGTTTGTGAATTTAGTGACATAGTAATTGAGTTCAAGCCTTGGTTTGGTTTGTATTCTTTTACAGCATATCAACCTCAATGGGTTATTTAATGCTGACAAAATTTATATTGTTGGTAACATTTTTTTCAAAAATCTATTTCTGGTTATATTTTTTCTTCAAATATGTATCGCTGGTAATATTTTTTTTCAAAAATGTATAGCTGTTCATAGGTTTTTTTTTTTTTTTTTTTTTTTTTTACAAATTATTTCTGATATTAAAACATTTTTACACTTTCATAGTGTTTTGACCCAGTTTGGGGATTAACTATTTACCCATAGCTGGGACCCTAACATATGCTACCACACTGGCTCAGGGTGTACCTGGGAACAACAGCAATTAAGAGGTGGTTACACGCTCCTCAAAACCTCCTGATCAGAGGCCTTGCTTTTGGACATAGTTTATCATACCCAGGACAATCAAGCCCTTGGCCAGACAATGTATATTTGAACTCAATGAACAATACTATATAACTAGATGAGTTATCAGGACATGGTCAGTGGAATGAGAACAATCTGTCTCTGTAGACTAAATAAAGGGTTCAGTTTAAAATTCAAGGCTGGAGGGCAAAATGGCCATGAGCACAATAGTCTGTGTGTAAATAAATAAATATTAACCAAAGAACAACACTAGAGGATAAAACTACTGCAAGAAACGGTGTGCATGTTAGACACTGACAACCTTCTTGGTAGATCTGAGGAAACAACACTCAAAAATTTCATCACTTGAGTTACAGACATTAGGTTTAAAGCTAAAAAAAATACACCAGTGGTTAAAATATATCTGTTTCCCAAGCAGTCAAGATTTCATTTTTTAGGAGTCTGGTAGATTGAATTGAATCTAAATAAGACTACTTCAACGCAAAATTCTAGTAAGAATGGTTGAAATGTTGTGAAATATAACAATCAAAATAAGTATGCTCACTTGAACAAAAAGGCAGACAATAATGATTTCTCATCTCAAAATTCCAACATATTAAATATGTAGGTACATTTTATGAATTGTTTTTTTTTTTTATTAAATTATAAGATACAAATCAAGTCCTCCTCTTGATGGTAATATTTATTTTTGATCTGATGTCTGTACACAACTCCCAATGGGACTATTCAGTTAAGCCTGATAAGACAGAACATAGTCACATAATCCAAAAACATGCTGAATCAATACAATTTCGCTTTTGAGCTGCATGCTTGACTTCAGTTGATTCATTCTTCAGTGTGGAGAACAACTTCCCAAGGGGAGGATATCACCAATCTTTACATACACACACACAGATATAAGTGTGCTGAAAATTTCTTGGTCTGAGATCATGAAGTCCTTCAAAAATCATTTGGGCAAAAAACCTTTCAGTAGCTCCTCATGTGTATATCTCCAAACAAGTTTGATTAAAAAGAACCAACAAGGTCTGTTTTGTTGTATTTTTCCAATTTTGAAATAAGGTGGTGAGTATTGTGCTCTGAATTGTGGATAAACTGTCCCAAGTTCATATAGCTATCAGTGATAGTAGAAGATTTCAGGGTATCATCTACTTTTTGGATTTCAGTGTGGAGAAGCTGTATTCTTGTTATTCACTAGTGTAATTTCTCTTTCGATAGGGGAGCATTAAAATTTTCCATGCTAGTTTCCACTACTGCTGACAATTATATGAACTTTGGACAGTATCCACAATTTTAAGCACAATACTCAACACTTTATTTGAAAATTGAGAAAATACAATAAAAAAAAAAAATTAAACAAACCTTGTTGGTTCTTTTTAATCAAACTTGCGTGAACTGATTCTTATAATTATAAAAGCTTAGTAAATTGGTTGTTGGATTATCTGAAAATGAACTTTTTTATTAATAGCCAATATATAATAGCTAAAAATATAGTTAATACCGCTACTGTAAATTCTATGGAGGCTGAAAGAGGGTTTTCTTTAATAAACATAATTTATTTTGACAAAAGAAATCATCTTGAAGTTAAAAATGTGGCAAATCTAGTCATAAATTTGATAGGTTATTGGATATTGGATCTTTGGGACTGCAGAAATTCAGTTTGAATGTGGCTAAGAAACCATAACACAGCTGATGACACTAGAATCAAAAAGCATCAAAACTTCTGAACAGAAATATGATGAGAACAGAATTTCAGTCTGGAAATATCTTAATAAATAAATGTTTTCTATAAAGTATCAAAATGGCTTCATTTGATAATATAAAGTGATTTGTCTTCATTCTCAGATTGAAATGAATAGGTTCCTAAAGATTATCTTCCTTTACAGAACCAGTTCCTGGAAATTTGGAATACCATTATTGGTTGTAAGATGTTTGAAAGAAAGAGAGTTGATCATGTAGTCTTGAAATGAGCTCTTAGAAAGCAGAATATAACCTCAATCCCAAATAATTTTCAGCCTAAGTATACACATAACATCTATGGTAGGGTCCAAAGCAGGTATTGCTCATCATCTCAGATCTCATGACGGTAAGTAACCCCAATACATAGACTGATAACTACCACAATGGTCTACAGGAAATTTATGTCAGTTTTGTGACAAAGTGGGTCAGCAGCAGGTCTAAAAAGTTACATGAAAATGCATAAAGACTAGATAAACTCTAAGACCATAGACAAGTCTTTCGACTGCCATGTATGTTGAGTCACTGCCATTCAATCCAAAATTGAAGAGATGGCTATCACACACACTAGATTTTTGCCTATATCATCAAAAATTTACAATGGTATTTAAATGATTTTGCATTTCCATCAGGTATAATTCTGTGTAATTAATCTAGGATTTAATTTATACTGTAACACTGTATCCTCACCCCACTAGACTCACACACTCCACAAGACCGGCCATTGGTCTGGTATGGTCCAGTATTACAGGTTAGACACAAGTCTCCGGTTCCCAATGTCAATTCGAAGCCACCCTCCAGCCATGTTGTGACTGTTTTGATCCTGGAAAGTGGTCATTGGATCATAGACATCCAGAAGCTCTCTGTTGGTCCACCTGTGAATTCATTGGGTGAGAATTGAGTTAACAAAAAAATAAATATAACCAAGTCGATTCGATTTTGAAAGAACAAAAGTTTTTTTTTATACATAAAAGCAAACACACACACACACAAAAATAATTCTTGTTGCACAAGGTTAAATGTTTCTTGTATGTGAACAATAACCAAGCAAACATAAATACTTCGAATAATTTCAGTAAAGGAGAGATGTGGCCTTCGTTTTAACCCTTTTTGGTCTGTTCTTAGTGCAACTACTACAACCTTCAATGTTTCCATTCTCAGTAGTAGTAATAGTAGCAGGAGTAGTGGTACTTAGATATTAGTGGTGGTAATTTGCTTCTTCGCCCTCAGCTTCAGCAACACACAATCTAATCTCTGATATCTCCCCACTCAGTTTGACTGAAATCGAAGACAGACGAGCCCAAAACTCTGTCTCCTCCAATTGGTTCAGCTCTTTATTAAGAGAACCAGTCTCACATGTCCCAGACTGGTGATGTGTCTGTTTTTCTAGTGCGAACATACTGACATACTACCAAAGTACAACTTCACTGCTCTGAGAATAAACAGTTTACTTTTTCATTGATTGGTTTCCAAGGTTCACAACAAGACACTATTGTTTATCACCTCGCTATTAATTATTCTGCTACTCTTTGTAAAGTACAGAGATTCTTGTTTTAAAAATAAATTCTAGATCAAAACATCCTTGATTTTAACTTCAATTCTTATAGTTTCAAAATCCATTTCTTTATTTAAAAGTTCCAAATTGTTATTGTTCCAGTAATTTGATATCCTTTGTACAAGAAGACTGTATTTCGTGTTCTAAATTAACTTTCTGTAACATTTAAATTGCAAAGTCTTTACAGCATACTAACATCTTGACCACTCGAAAACACCTTTCTTTCACCCAGAGTCCACTGTCTTACAGCATATCCTCCTTTATTATCATTATTATTTCAGGGGTGATATTGCCCCTGAAACAATACAATTAACTTTATTGTCAAGTATGAGAAAGAATTCTGTTTTTTAAATCATTACAAGTAACAAAGAA